GTGCGGATGGTCGGTGTAACATTTTGCATGATAAAATTCTAAGTGATCTTAATGAAACAAGAAGAGTTGAAGAGATTGCAACCAAGTGCAAAGTCTTGAGTTATTTTTCGTTGTAATGCTAAAATAATTTAATGGTGTAATTTTATTTATGGGAAAGAGCTTTTCTACATTATGTAATGCTCAATTTCATTTATGAAAATGATCTATTTGTGTGTTGATAGGATAATTTAGCATTTTTGGATGATCGTAGCATTGTTGGATAATTTCCTTGGTTTAGCACCTCAAATACACTTGGATTCAACCACCCCCAACTTGAAAATAGCATTCAGCATCCCATAAATAGTATTTCAGCATTACAACTAAATTGTTCAACAACACAACTATTGGATTACAAAATGTCTTTCACTTTGCCCTCTTATGCTTCAAATATCCTTGAAATAGTTATAAAGTTCTCCTTCGTAAAGAAGAATTTCACACCGAACAAATGCATTTATGTTGCATCAAATGATATACCCTACACGAATTGGAATGGATCAATGAAAATAGATGTGAGAATGTACATTAAAATCATTGTATGAAAAAGCTAACATACCTGAGTAGTTTGTAAAATATTGGATGCTCGTATAAATAATGGTTGTGAACATATTTGTTGTAAAGATAATGACTGTGAATATATTGATTGTGAAGATGAAGGTACCTTAACGACAAATAATCCAACTAATAAAAATGAAAATTTGTGAGTATGTGTATTCATATATCTATACTACTAATAAATAAATATAAATACTATTAATAAATTTGAATCTCTATTTTACCATTATAAAGGATTGCAAATACCACTCTATCATTTCATAATCAAATATCTAAATTATCATCATATCCTTATGTTTTTAAAATCTTCAAATTATCCATAACATCACTTTTAATTATTTATTCTCTATTTATAAATATCAGTTTCTATAAAAAAATTTGATTGACTATTTCAATACAATATTCAAAAAACCTTAAAAAACTCCATCTAATATTACTCATATGCAAAGATATCATTATTCTTACATATATGTATTTTTTTTCACTGAAAAGTTTAACTCTTTCATTTATAAAATAAAAATAATCGTATATATAATTTTTTAAATTCAATTTATATTATATTAGTATAATTTTTAGTCACAATAAACTTTCTAAATCGTACTAAGATTTTATATAAAAACAGATATTGTAGTGTATTTTTAAGCAAAACTTAAAATTTTTTAGAATTTTAATATACTTGATAATATCTATTATAAAATAGTATATTAAATCTTATCTCAATTGATCTAACTAATTCCTAATTATAGTAAGGTTTTAATGTGATTAATAGATTGACATTTATTTTTATTTTATTCAAGGAATTATAAGTGGAATCCTAATCAAATGAATTTTCAAAAAATTTAATTTCTCAATCACAAAATTCTAAAAAAATAGAACTTTAACTATTTCTTTTTTTTTTATATAGTTAGAGAATTTTGGGAACATATAAAATTTTCACAATCTTATAATAGAATATAAGCAATACAAAATTAACATATATCTAATATATTTTATTAATTTTTGTGTATGAAAATTATTCATGGACAAAGTACGTGATCCATTGCTAGTGAAGAGGTCGAGAAATTCTGATCATGTCTGACAATTAGACTTGGACACGTGACAAGTTACACGTGCTGAAAAGAGTTATTTGGAATGATTCTACTATGACTGAGCAAGTAGCTAGGCTATTCAGCTCGTGCTATAATTAGTTCGATCGAGCAGAGGACAAGATTCGACCGAACAGATAGCTAGACTAATCGAGCAGAGGATAAGATCCGACTAAGCAAATACCTGAAAAGTCAAAGATGGTGCTAGGCAACCAATGAGGAAATTGCCTAAATCATTGGAACACATAATTAACATGTGACCTAAATCAGCTAATGAGAAAAAGGAAACCTTATAAGGGTTAAACATGAATTAAGGAATGAATGATTGAAATTTAGGTGTGCCACCATATTCTAACAAGGAGGATAGTTCTAAATAATTGGGAACAAGTTCCCTATAAATGTCGGTAAAGTTTAAGTCTAAGGTACGTACTATTTGTCTAGCAAATTGAATACACTTTCTCGTGTCATTACTGACTTAAGCATCAGAGTGTCTCCAACCTGTACCCCACTGGTCTATGGCAGTTTGTTTGTTTTGCAGGTTAAAAGCAATCTCAAGTACTCATCTCAAACGAATCTCTTTATTTTGATAGGTGCGAATTTTCCCCCCTACAGCTAGTGTATATATATATATATATATATATTAGTTATAACACATGTCTAAAGACACGGCAAAACATAAGATTCTAACGTTCCAAAAATTGATTTTATTATACCAAATTTAAAATTAATATTTTTTTTGCATCATTTAAAATTAATTTTTACATATTATTTTTGTAAATATAATGTCAGATTTTTTTTAAAATGTATTCATTATCATTTATGAATAATATATGAAATAAAATGTTATGTTAAACTAAAAATTAATTATCAAATATTAAATGATTGAATGTGAAAGAATTGAGTGATGTGATATTTTTTAGGGAAAAAATATATATGAGATAAAGATTTAAGTTCCAAGTTATCTTATTATATATATATACTAGTCATAACCCGTACTTAAAGGCATAAATAAAATATAAAATTCGAGTACCTAAAAAATCGATCTCACTATATTAAATTTTTTTCAACATGTGTATGCTATCATATATGAATAATGTTTTAAATAAAAATTATATTAACTACAAATTAATTAAATATTAAATGATTAAACATATGATAGAAATGGGTGATATGATGTTTTTAAGGGAGAAATATATGAATGATTAAACATGTGATAGAAGTGAGTGATATGATGTTTTTAGAGAGAAAAATATATAGGGGATAAAAATTCAAATTGTTATATGTTTTATTATATAGATATGTGTGTACATATATCCACATATTTATTTATTTTTTATATGCACATATTTATAAATGAGATACTATAAAAAAAAGTAACTAATAAAAAAAACAAACAAAAAATAGACGAAGGAGACAAATCACAAAAACCCAATCGTTACCTCTATGAATAAGCAATTCTTGCTACGTTCCTTGGAAAAGGTAAGGGTGGAATTTGGATGTTTTTGGTCCAACGTTGCACCAAGAATGGAGTGGGTTTTGTGTGTTTTTGGTCTAGTAGGCTGTGCACCAAGAATGGCGGGTATCGAATTTTTTTGAAGGTCACTGACTGTACAGTGGTTTTTGGAACGGCACCGTTTGAGAAACAAAATAAGGAATAAAAAAATTTATCAAAACTGTGTCGTTTTAGAAGAACAACAAATGCTCTTGTTCTCGGCATACAACAGAGGAGCCGGATCCGATGACTTAGTATAAAAAAAGTAATCGAAGTGGGAGTGAGTAATCATGGAAGCGATTGGACGACATGTGCCCTTCGGATTTTTTCTTTTCTTTTTTTTTTTTAATTTTTTTTTCTTTTGAATGAATTACACTTTGTACTCTGAAAAATTTTAAAAATTTTATTTTATAATCTTTAAAAATTTAATTTTTTATATTTTACCCTATTACAATATAACTATTTGTGTTAGTTTCGTTGCTCATTTCATCAACATCAAAAAAAGTGAAGGTATTGAACCCAAAAAGGGAAACTAATACGCATATAATATTTGATAAAAATAAAGAAATTTGAACTTAGTACAATATATATATATATATATATATATATATATTGGTTCCTTTAAGACTAAACTAACATAATAAGGGTAGTAGCGTTAACAAGAAATCAAATTAAAGCGCCGATAAAAGGCCCCTCTCTCTTAAAGTCAACTTTTTCCCTTCTTTTAGCTAGTTTCGTCTATCTATTCATCTCTTTCTTCAAATAGATATTTAGAGATCTCTCTTGTTCATAGATCTTAAAACCAGATCAATATTCATTTCTCAATAGATCTATCTATCGATAGAAAGATATAAATCCCTATATGAATTTTTATCTAAATATGAAATAACCAGCACTAAAAAGGCATACAAAAGGTTCTCAACCTGTCCCTGGCATTTCCACTTGTTATTGATAGAGATTTTATCGGTACTAAAGGTAACTTGCTTACCAAACCACCCACTTATGAAGCTAGTCGCCAGAAAGATGAGAAAGCAAAGTTGTCTATGAAGCTTTGCTTTTCTCCCTATAATCTTAATACTCGACTCGTCACTACTTTGATTTAAAAGGTAATCGATAGTTCTTGACTTTCTTCAATTTTCGCAACTTTTTTGGCATAGTAAAAATCTATCCACATTTGAAAATAACACCGTCCAAGATTTCAAATGTGTATTTAAAATTTTAAAACATTTAAGATAGACTGAATTTATTGACGTGAATAAATCCTTACCGTGCAATATATGAAAATAAAACATCTATGGAGATCAAATTCAAATTTTCAACATGGTAATAATGATTCCCTTGTTTTTAACCCAAAAACCCTTTTGTCCAACAAAACTTAAACTCTAAACTTTTGCTCGATAATAAATCATCTACCATTAATACACATAAATCCACCATTTACTAGTGAACCTGTCACTCATATACGTTGGATGATTTACCATTGTATGAAATTGAGAGAAATTATATTGAAGAGAATCTCAAATCCTGATTTCTTGATAAGAAAAGCGTAATAGAGAGAAACTCTACCCTGATTTCTCGCCAAGATGGAGAAGTTTCAACCATTCAAACTAAATTAGTGCTCATTATTACTAAATCCTATAGTAGGTACTCTGGGTGGATATGGGTGATCAAATAGCCATCAATGTCATCTCTCTCTCTCTCTCTCTCTCTCTCTCTCTCTCTCTCCTGTAAATCTTTCCTCCATTCACTCATGCATGATGATTGATCAATGAGAGAAATAGAGAAAAAAAAAAAAAACTAAAAGGGATTTAGATTCACTCACCATCAAAACAACTACAAAAAGATCAACAAAACTTAAAGAGAACCAGATATAATTCTTATCAAGAATGACAGTCTGAACACCAAGTTTACAAGTAATGAAGCATTTGTTCAACATTAAAAAAAAAATGACACTCCAAGCAATTATTAACATAATAATCAAATGAGGAGCAATGAGCAAAGATCAGCTTCGTTTCTACATCGCCTTCATTTACATAACTGTTCTTTCAAGACTATTCATAAAAAAACACCTACAACAATATGATATACTGTAACCAAGTAATACAATTTGTTTCCTGTATCAATTTCGAACAGAGAGAATGACAAGGTAGAAATAAATTAGTCATCTGATAGAAGAGTATACATACATCTAGACTTATCTGGTGCAAATAACCGAGGTTTGGATCTAAACTGCCAGTGATCTGCCGCTAAAATCAATTAGAGAGAAGAATACATTTAACAAACTTGAGGCAGGGTAAAAATGAATCTGCGTACCAAAAATGCCTTAAACAACCCTGGAGAGAGAACTTTGCAATTGATCACCAGACATCCCTAAGATACCGTCCATCCATCTGAAGTTTCTTCACAATGGCTTCTGCCTTTGATGAGTCCACATTTTCCTGGAATCAAATTCAAGAAAAAGGATAAAACTTGGTGAAAGATGTGTAACCCAAATCCAGAGACTGCAACTTGTAAGTTCTTTGATAGTGGATATAGACTTGTGCTAATCTGAAGAATCTTAGTGCACAATTGTTGGATTATATGAAACAGGATAATCGTCTGTTTAGGTGGCGTTATGCTGAAGGCGAGATTTATTGGACTCGGTACAAAGTGCATATCAAGAATTGCTTGACATTGTCAGCGCTGGCAATGAACTAACAGGCCTTTGGTTCAATGATACTTTTTACCTTGTGAAGGTTCTGCCTTTTTTAGGTCAAGAGTTCAAGTGCCCCCTCTCTCCCCCCCCCCCCCCCCCCCCC